TTCAAGGCATTCAAAAAAAAAATGTCGTCTGATGAGCATCACAATTAATCTTTTGAATAAGAGATTTATAAAAGTTTAACCCGGCTATCGCTTACCCTTTAATTCCCGATGCATTCTATTTTACGCCATAAAATACTACGATAATTACATCTTCACATATCTCTTATTTCACTTGAAAGTATATCGCCCCGAAGGCCTTATTAGACTGTTACCTTTAGGTCATAATTGAGTAAATTAGCATAGGTACTTTTCCAAGTTACAGTTAAGATTTTAGAATGGCATGCATGGAAGCCAATTGGCAAGGAATCCTTTCTACGACACCAATACGGTGGCTCCACAGAAGCAGTCAAACGGTGGGTGCTTATTTATTTTCTCATGATAAAACCTACAACCTCCTTTGTGTGGGAAGTCCCAATTCTGCGACTTTTCTGTTAAACTTCTTCAAGAAAAATACTTTGAATTCCTACTTGATGCAGTTAGGTGGGAATGTTTCCGGTTGGGTGCGGGACTTCTCACGGATTCTCTCGCGATTGCCTGCTGCCGTTTCACGGCAGTCGTCTAACGATGTTACCGGCCGCTGTGAATAGCACGTCTTCCTGGGCGTCATTCTTCGCTGCTGGACGAACGTGTCCATCGTCATCGCGGAAAAACCGACCTCACCTCAAGCGTCAATCCTTTTTATTATCTTTGTGGATCATTTGAGCAATTTTGCGCTTTATTTAGGGAACTTTGAGCTTTAACTTCAGGAAATTTGCAATTGTTAAATATCTATAGATATTACTAGACATATATGCTTTTTTAAAATAATTGCTTCAAATCTCCCTATTTCAGACGTCTTCTCCGGCATGAATCTCTCTATGCAAGCATTCAACACCAATACAGCACCAGTAAAAGAGGAGCAGGTGAGCTCTTGGAGTCTTCTACCTAAACTATTGCATTTTTAGTTTCAAAAAGTAGTTAACATAAACTCGTCATCAAGAGTGGTCTCTTTTTTTAGTTACCCCAATTCAACATGAGCTCATGTTTCAACTACTCTAGCCTGAAGCTACCAGCTTGCCATCCAGGAACATTCTCTCAACCGGGTAAAGTTTTAAGTAGTAAAAAGAATATATATGTAAGAAAACAGGAAATACTCTTCTTATCATTTACTCAGTACATCTGTTCATTCATTCATTCATTCATCTGCTCATTCAATCTGCTTATTCAAACTCATTCATCCTTCATTCATTCATTACTTGTTCATTCAATCATTCAACCACTAAAACTCCTTCATTCACCCTTTACTCATCATTCACTCGTCATCCAATCATGGAACTGTTATATACTTTTTAATAAGGCAGAAATTTCACAAATCGTTCATCTAAGAATAAATGTCACTCCTAACAGAAAAGAATTGACATTTTCCAATTTTTATCCCTTCTTCCAAACATCCATTAATCCAGAAAGTTTAAACCTGCCGCATACTATCTTCACTCCACATTTTCGTTACTTTCGTATAGCTTCGTACGGATGGTTGCCGAATGATTTGCCGTCTACTTCTTCGACAACGACAACTGTTACGAGACGAATACGGTAGAAGCATGACAAACAAATTTCAAGCTGCGGCAAGCTCCAATCTCCTTGCGCATCCTGTTTTGGCCGGCTGCCAACCGTCCCAGACGAAAACACCCACCGAAGTGCCATCGAGCATTTCTAGCTAGAAAACATCTGCACATGCTGCTGTAGGTGTGAATTAATTGGTCTATATGGGCTATATTAGCGCCAAGAGATCTTTTTT